ACACCTAGGTAAAAACAGCATTGCAGGTACCCCAGGAGCCCCAACCATATCTTGTGTTCCTTTCTGAGCACCATGCCCTCCCTAAACGGACTTTTGTGATACTCACTTTCTTGCTTTTCCTATAGCTTTTCCACCTACGGATGCTTGCCTAAACCATACAGTTTTACTTTACCTTGTTTTGAATTTTTACGAGTGATTTTGAAGTAATAGTAAGTTTGCGCACACCTATAGGTAATTTTCATTGCTGTCTAGTACTCCATTGTATGAATATGACAATATAGCCATTCTACTGTTGATGGGTATTTTCTTGTTCCAGTTTGGGGCCAACTAGGAACAGTGCTAAAGGCATTCATATCTCTAGATACTAGTGCCCATGTCTGTAGGATACATGCTTGGGGTTCTAAAATTGTTGAGTCATAGGATGTGCGTAATTTTACCAGGTCATGCCAAACTTTTATTTGGGATGCAGGAAAGTTAAACTTCCCAAGACACATCTTCATTTGGTTTAAGGTTCCTGGAGGGCCCCCCCCCTTTCCCATTAAGACTAGGTTTTTTCATTGAGCCTTCAGACCTGCAGATGCAGCATTGAGTTGTTGGGGTTTTTTTGCAGGGGGGTGGGGAGGGGCGGGGGTGGTAACTAGGTTGGCTTATTTATTTATATATATAAATTTTTTTAAATTGAGGTATTGGGGATTGAACCCACGACTCTACCACTGAGCTATACCCTCCTCCCCCAGCACTGAGTTTAATGATGCTTTGCAGAGTACTAATTACCGGTTCACACATGGTGATTTTTCGTTTTGTGAACAGAGACCATCTTCTCAGTGGTGTTTCTTTTCAACATTCCTCCCCACGCCAAGGGCAGAGAAACCTTTAGAAGTGATCAGATGCATCTCACCTGCCTTGTTTACTCTGTTGGTGCCTCTGGATCTTTGTCAAACCAGAGTTCCTACATTCCAGGTTATCTCTGTAGGATCCCTGGCACTTTCAGTGACCATTAACTCTTGTTAGGCGAGTAAAGGGAGCACGTCACCCTGATGCCCGTGCAACGCCCTGTCTTTGGATGTGGACCATTTCCGGAAGGCCTGTGGTGTGATCACCTTTGCTTCAGCTGCTCTGGTTTTCAGGGCTGAGTTGACCTCAGCCTCCTGTCTCCGGTTTGATGGCTTACCCACAATGCATTTGTGCATGATGTACAATGTTCTTTTTTTTTAATTTTTTTAAGTATAGTTGATTTACAATGTTAGTTTCAGGTGTACAGCAGAGCAATCAGTTATACATATACATACTTTTTTTTCAGATTATTTTCCATTATAGTTTATTACAAGAAATTTTGACTGTAGTTCCCTCTGCTATACAGTAGGTCCTTGTTGTGTATCTGTTTTATGCGTAGTAACGTTTATCTGTTAATCCAAAACTCCTAATTTATAAATTTTTTTTATAATGGAGGTACCAGGGATTGAACCCGGGACCTCATGCATGCTAAGTGGGCGTACTACCACCAAACTGTACCTACCCCTTGATATGTAGTGTTCTTGAGGTTTCATTTTGTAGCTCCAACCACCCTCAGTGAAGGAAATTATATTAAAAACTTCTTGGATGTAATTGTCTGCAAAAGGCATGTGCTCACCATGTTTCTACATGAGTTTGGGTAAAAAGACATAGAGTTTCTCCTTTGAAGTTATGGAATTTCCTGCATTTCCCTTATTTTTCTGTGTTGTTTTGTTTCTCCTGAAAACTTTCGAAAAGACAAAGGGAAGTGAGTGGAACGTATCTTAGTTCTCTCCTTACTCCAGTTAGTTGGAGAATAGTTCTCAACAGCTGTTGATTGGATTCAAGTAAACATGGCGGTGTCCTTCCTGGCCACGTTCCAAGTTTCTCCTGTCTTCCCAGGAAATATGTGCTTAGAGCTTTGATTAAAGAGAGCTTGAGATGCGACTTAGT